CACCACCTACTGTGTCCTCTGACTGTGGTACCGTTATTAAGGTATTTTTTTTTTTTTGTTAGAAGTTTCATCTTTATTTCAGTGTTTTGAAAAAAAAAAAAAATGCACTATTCATCATATTCTTTGAAATATGATCAAATAATCACCGAAGATTCGAATCCATCGGCACTTTTGAGACATCGTAGTATTTGATAGTTCATGCATTTTTTATTGTTTTATCTCATCATCTTCTAATTCATCAAGAATTTTATAGAAATGTAAAATGTAGAGATGTGTACAGAAATATAAAATATATGAACATAAACGAAATATAAAATGTAAAATATATGAACATATGCCATACAGAAGATGAGCAAAAGAACTTTATACATAATATAAAAAAGGGGTACTTAAGGATGGTAAATTGGAAGCGTTAGTTGTTGTTTCATTGGATGGTGTGTTACCGCATCAAGTAACCACCGAGTGGGATCGTTTCTATCGCGTTTCTTGTGACATATCCATGGATAAGATGATGCATGAAGGTTCGGTTATTGTCACAACAATTTATGATGCGGGGTAAGTTATTCTCCATTGTTGGATTTTATTATAGCAGAACATAATTATCGCACTTTTTTGTAAGATCCACAAAACACCTGATAAGTTTGTAAATTATATATATATATATTCGCTTCAGAAAACTTGGTCAAAATGACACTTTTTTAATTCTTTGTCGAAACTTATTTCGATTTTTCTTCTGGAGCAATTAGTTCTCTCTTTTTTTTTTCATAATAATACGGAAGACTCCTGTATTTTAGGGAAACGAACACACGTGTTCTTGCTGTAGGAACTCCACCACCGGTAACTGCAACGTTGTCTTTCCTTAGTGATGATGACGAACTCCTGGAAAAGGCTTCAATTGGTGATTCAATCCAAATGGTTGTTACATCTGAACAAGCTGGGCCGCACAATATGATGCTAACCGAATGTACAGCAACAAGAGTTGGTGGAGAGGGTGACGCTGTACCTTTTACGATTATCGAAAATGGGTTAGTATGTCACCTTTATGTTCTGGAAAAGCTAGTGGTTCTGCATTTTTTTTTCAGTTATAGTTTCGGAGCATATTGATTAATATAATTCATTGTTTAATTGTTTCTTTAATAGCTTATAGTTCAAGAAAACTAGAGAATGAAAATGATCCACAATTCCAATTTATTTGAAAAGTTCTGGAATGATATGACATTTATGATATAAACCTCATACTATAGGAGCATGTTTTTTTTTTTTTTTTTTTTCATCTTATATCTGTTATACTCATTCTACAGTTCACTGTTCAATTACATCCACTACTGCGTAAAAATTGGAGGTTTGCATTTAGAAAATTGCGTTTAATTTAGCTGCCCACGTTACCCGGCCCTGGTTGGCCCCGTTCGACAAGATTTTGAGAAAAACCGCCTCAAATGTGACATGAAAGCATTCCGATTAGATGGTTCCTACGACGTTCAAATTTTATGTCAAGTAATGTTTTGTGCTGGACCTAATGGATGTCCACCGGTAAGTCTCACTCTCTTGTATTATTTTTTTTGAGAAATCAGAGATATTTTCCTGTCTAATAATTTCTGAATATTCTGGAAGCCTAGAAGACAAGTTAATAGATATAACATATATTATTCTTTGATATGACACGATTAAACTAAATGGTCAAAGGAATTCCAACTGCAAGGGACAAAGATTTACTAATTAACTAACCTAACCTTGATTTTGTAGAGTAACTGTTTGGATTCTGGAACGAATGAGCTGTTTATGTCTCATGGACGGCGGAAACGAAGTGTCGATGAAAATGATCAAACAGAAGGTACACTGTCTGCAATAATACGAGTTCTCGCAAAAGGAGAAAACGAAGAAGTTTTACAAAATGCTACCTTCCCAAATAAGTAAGCTGTTTAATGGTTTTCAGTGGAAAGACACTAAATTTGGTTAATATTTAACCAAATTTCTGAAGTACAAGTCATTTCTTTCCCTTGAAATAGGTTCGAAAGATCATTTTATTTGCTAATCATAAAATTTTTAGCACTTTTTCGGAAGAATTCGACCTGGTGTGCATGTCTGAGGTGTGGTTCATTTCATCAGTCGTGTCCGTATCTGTGGTATGCTTGATTCTATCCGCATTTATTGTTGTATGGGGCTGTAGTTCTTTGAAGAAGGAAAAGTTGCCATTGTAATTATTTAAATTTTGTTCACTACAGTGATTCCAAGAAGCTTCACTTCAGATTAATTTATACATAAAAGAAGAATGGTTAGAAAATTTAATATATTCGTAATTTTTACTACTCTATTTACCACTTTTTAAATTTGAGAATAAAATGTGGAAACTTGGAAAATAAAGGATAGTGCAATACGTTGATAATAGTAATATAGACGGCATAATAATGATACACAGTTATAATAATTCTACTAATTGCGCCTTTCTAAGCAATTTTTCGAATTGAGACGACTCGGATAAATTCATATCCCTCTTTCTTGTACTACATGTTTTTGTTTCTAGAAAGCTTATACAATTTCCCAATAACTTCTAAATATGCTGCGCAGTTTGTGCCACAAAATGCTATTTATAATTGTTCGTTAAACTTTCATCTCTGTTTTAGCATTCCTATAATTTTCCATCACTTCCCTGATACTTTGCGAAAATTTGTTGTGTCCTGTTGCAGCATTTTCCATTTTAAAATGAAAGAAGCATAAAAGGACGTTTAGTGAAGTTATCAGAACTTTATGTTGAAGGAATTATGAATAATGCATCCTTCCTCTGAAATACAGTTAATTTCTCCACAATTCCTTAAGCACTCGTATCAGGTTATATTTCATGTACTCATGCTCTGTTATTTTGCTGTTTAAGAAAGTAAACCGTTTTCAGGAAATGTTTCAGACCGTTTATTGCATTTTCCAGCGACATAAGCGATCCAGCATTTAATCGTAGATTACTAATCAATTGCATAATCTGGTCCAAACATTACTTTATTCCAGCTGGTGCAAACATCACTTTATCTCAGGAATAATATCTGAAATGACTGTGAAAAAATTCCTTTAAGACATCGCCGTGCACTCAGTGTTGACCCAAATTTTAGTTAGATCTTCGTCAGAAAGCGGGTGTTTCGTTATATGGATGACCGGAAAATGAAAGCAAGTTCGTAGATCCTATTTTTCGAATGGAAGTCGATGTAGTGCAATTAATTTCAATTTGGTTCAAAACCAAAGCTCATGTTCAGCACTGTATTGATATCACTTTTTAGTAATTTGAATTAGTTGATATTATGAATATTAATGAGGAATGCCAGACACAACAATGAGAAGTTGTTTTGGATCACCGATAATGCAGTGTGATACAGAAATATGCTTTGAAGATAAACTGAAAGAAACGTACTTGAAATTAGTTACGCATTCATGGCAAAATGCACTCGCATAGTTAGTATCGTGGCTGGTCTATTAGTCTCGCAAATCTCCCGTTAGAAGAAGTTGTCATAATTTTTGCGATGTTGATTTTGAAGTCCCATTTGTAATGTAGCACTGAGACACTTTATTACTACTTTTGTTAGCTATTTTGAGCACTTGCTACCGATACTACTGGTGTCGAGTTGAATTAATTTAATTCAGATGGATTTTGGAAGAACTATTTCTTACTTCCAACCTTCTCATTTGCCTGGATTAGAATTGATTTAGTAGGTGGCTTTAAGAAATATGGAACCAATTGAAGAAGAAAATTTCGAGATGTCTAGGTTTCTATGCAGCTTCATAGAAGGTATACATATCAAATGCGCGAAAAAAAATTCGAAATGTATATACAAAAGTATTTGAAGATTGAGTAACCTTGAAAAGACAAAATTTTGATAAATCAAACGCAGCAATTTATGACAAATGAAGGATGACTTACGGTTGTGGAGTATCCTTCCCGAAGTTTTATTTAACTTTCTTTATTATACATTTTCGAATACAAATACCAATTTTAGAGGAAAATATATATAAATTTTGAATTTCGGCCAACGCAATTATTCATCAGTTGTTGTTCCGCGTACTCTAATCTAATGGTTAGTTGGACCTGAAATGCTGAGTCACGAAAATAGCTTCCAGATTTCTGAGCGCAAAAAAGCTCCCTCCACTCTTGTACTAAGTGCAAAACAATGGAAAATCGAACACCTAAAGGTTAGGCATTCTTTAAAGCTGAACTGCACTATTGGAAGTAGGATTCGTTACAATAACCAGCGTTAGTTGTTCTTCTGAAACTTATACTATAGAATTAACCCACCAATCCTTTATTTGCTTTTTGTGTATCTCTTTCCCAACAAAACTTCTATTCTAAAGGTTGTGAAGTGCAATCGCCCCCACGTTTGCCTCACATTTTTCGACATTCCACTGACACATATCCCTGCATCTGACTGATGTCACGGACCCCCCACTTCCCACCACCAAATCCCTCCCAACTTATTATTCCCATGTAAGGACATAAGTCAGTACGTGCCACATTATTTACCTCACTACATATATCTCTTCTCGTACGTGTTGGTCATAATGCTGTATTGTTTTCTTTTGCATTAGATTGTACGTCGGAATTTGTAATGATAGGTTCTGTTACTTCCAAATAATATTTTGCAGTTTTTCTGCTGAAAGTTTGTAGAATAAAAAAGGATGTATAAAGTAAGAGTTGATGTGCAACCATGGGGAAAATTAAACAAAAAGTATGGCTTAATTCATTGTCTTGGCTTTTTTCTTTTTATATCACCATATGAAGACTTTCAGCATCCCGAAAATTGCTGTGCTGTGAACGACATGCAGTAGTATGCCGGAAGTGTGCAGCACTGAATAAAGCAAGCTCGTAATATTTTCAAATGTATTATTCTGACCTTTTGATTCGCACTCATTTCTTACTGTTCTCACATTCCAGAAGTGAACACTTCCTCGCCATATTTACAATGTTCCCGTAAAGTTGTGCGTAGACGCAAACAAGGAGATAATTTCAGATATACTGAAGTAAAATGAAAGGTTTAATATGTGTAATATTTTTTGTACATGGATTACGCGGAGTTCACACAGAGTTAATAGCTACGCCAAATAAACTTAAAACTACAGTAAGCTGTTACTCGTATTTACCAAAATTACAAAAAAAGCACTATGTTTTTATTTTTTTTCAAACATGTTGGTTTGGCGCACAACAAAATTGTACACTTTCATGTGAGATTAAAATCTTTGTTCTATTCCACGATTTACAGATTGATAAAATCGATGTGCCCTTAGAACCGAACTGCTCACAACCAATTTGCCTAGGGCCTTTATCTCAAATTTATTGTTCCGGAAAACTAATTCACGCAACGTGGATATTTGGAATGCAGGAAACATGCCCTGGTAATATGATGCGTAAATCACCGGAACTCATTTTGGAATTGTTTACGAAGTGAGTATTTTAGATTAATAAGTAAGAACGCTATGTATTTAGTTTTGCCTTGAAATGCTGCATCTTTCTCACAGCTGTGGATAAAAAAATCTGCTATTAAAGATTAATTAGCATCATTACATGAATACCCATCTGCTAAAATACCTACAGTACTAAAAATAATTTCTGTTAATCCAAACTCTTAAAGATAAATTTGTGTATTTTCAGCCTCACCTATCCACTAAGACGTGAACAGTTTCAAAAATTTTGTGCCGAAAACTTTGCGAACATAAGTTATCTTAAACAGGCAACTTTGGAAGATTGGACTGAAGAACCCGAAAATATAAGACGATTGCAAAACACAGGGTTAAAGTAAATATTTTCAGACTGTGTAGAATTTATGAAGTAATCGTATGATACCTTTAATCTCCTTTTAAATTTCACTAATTTTAAATACGCTTATCATATATGATGTCAAAACTTTGAATTTAAGAAAATTTGCTCGAAAACTGAATAAATTATGGAAAGTATTGGCACGAGAATTCGTGGAACAGGTGCATAAAACTCCGGAGCTGTTCCCAATTTTGCCTGTTTCAAATGCATTCATTGTGCCTGGTGGTTCGTTCCAAATATATTTTTACTGGGATTCGTACTGGATCAATAAAGGTTGGCATTATATTCCAGCTACATTGATACATATGAAAAGAGTCTCATCATATAAAAGTGTAACATCCCATGTCTCTTATAAACATTTTCGTTACCAATTATTTTCATATTTGGTAATTTAGCCTGTACCGTCCAACTTTGTCCATTAAATTTTCTGAGAATTTTTTCAGGATTGTTATTTTCAAATATGTCAACAACTGTTCGTCAAATCCTTGAAAATCTGGCCAGTGTTGTGCAGTTCCATGGATTCATTCCAAATTCGGGAAGTGTGCAGTAAGTTTCCTGCATTTCACGCTTCTCGTTATAGATACTGGATATATGTGAATTATATTTGGTATTGTTTCATATTTTATTTTTAACAAAAGATAGGCTTAAGACTGATCAGACTAACAACTGGTCATAATGGTTGCAGGAATTTTGACCCAGTTTATCAATCTTGGGTTTTGCTGCAGATTGTCGCGAAGAAGTCATCCTCCATTGTTTACGCAAATGGTAGCGGATTATTATGCTGCTACCGGCAACAAAACTCTGTTGAAAGAGATGATACCGTGGATGAATCAAGAGATGTTATGGTGGACAGAAAACCGAGCATTTTATGTCAAGTTGCCGTCCGGTCGAAAGTACCGAATGTATCAGTACAGGGTGAGTAGTGCTATCATCCACACTGTCATGAAAGATACTAAAATTAGTTTGAATAGATTATTTCAGGCTTTGTCCAGTTGTCCACGTCCGGAAAACTACTTAACCGATCTGAATAATGGGTTAAATGGCACAGGACATCCAGAATTTATTTGGTCTTCAATTGCTAGTGCTTGCGAATCTGGATTGGACTTTAGTACGAGATGGTTTGCACATCAGGGAAAATATGCAGGTGAATTTCATCTTGCTATTTTTCATCACTAGCTGTCATTATAAGTCTTTCCAGATACCAAATATTCGATCCGAACCAATAACATTATTCCTGTTGACTTAAATGTGTTTATGGCTTGGAATTTCGCTACCCTTACTAATTTTCACGAAATTCTTGGAAGATCCAAGTAAGTTGTGTCTATTTTTTCCTAAATTAGGTTAGGTTTTACATTTTCACTTCTTATCTTTTTTAATAGCGTATTTTTTCGTATAATTCCATGCTGTGACAAATCATTAATTTTGTTTTCAATGAAGAGCAATAATAGATATTTTAAGAGAGGCTACTGAATATCGTGAATTATACAAGGGATTGCGTGAAGCATTGGATGAAGTTTTCTGGAGTGAAGACTATGGAGCATGGTTTGATTACGATTTGATGGAGCAAAAACTAAGGAGTGGCTTCTATCCGTCTAATGTTTTTCCACTTCTTCTTGGTGGCTATGATGCTCCCGTAACTGAAAAAGTTCTTGACTATTTACTGAAGAGCGGAGCACTCATTTTCAAAGGTAAGTTAGCTTAGTTTATCTGGAATAATTCTTGATTTGGAGAAATTTAATTTTTCAATTCAAGAGAAGCTAGATTTTTTTAATTTGTGGTTTTTATTTTATATACGAAGAGCTCTAGGTGGCATTCCGGTGAGCTTAAATAATGCTTCGCATGAACAGTGGGATTATCCAAACGGTTGGCCACCACTCACACATTTATTCGTGGAAAGTTTACGGTTGTCAAAAAATGAAAAGCTTGTTAAAATAGCTGAGGAAACAGCTTGGAAGTTTATTCGTACTGCTTACAATGGAATGATGTACCCAAAAATGGGAATGGTTTGTGCCATTGTTTTGTATGTTCTTATGGACGTAGTGAATATTGTTATAACTTGCTTGTACTGGTTTTGTAAATTTGTGTAGCTCGATGCTTAGCATGAACCTGGATTTTTTTTTTTTTCTTGGAAAAGCTTATAGTGTTATTGACACAATGGGTTTTGCATAATGTAAAGAAACAAAATTATCCTTTGCAGCCAGCAGCGTGTTGGGAAAAATATGACATTCGATATGATGATGGTACACCTGGCTCAGGTGGTGAATATCCTGTGCAACAAGGTTTTGGGTGGACAAACGGTGCTTTGCTTGATCTCATTTATAAATATGGAATTCTTGAAGAGCACACAATTTCTAGAAGTAAGCTGTTTCTCTCTGAATACTTAGAGAAAAATCGAGAAAATTTTGATGGGAAAGATATCAAATAGAATGTAATGTAAGGTTCTTTAACCGAATAAGATGACATATTTGAATATTTTAACTTATTATTTTGATACCTTCTTTTCTTGTATTTTTTTGCGCTATTTACAATGCCAGTGGAAGACGATGCATTCAAGAGGATCACTTGACGATTGCCATGAGTTATACTGCTTAATTATATGCTTTTGTTTAGACATTCTTCCGTTGTTCTTCAAGCTAATTAAATTAGCAGTCTATCACATTGATTCTTTCTATTACAGTTCCAAGTTTGTTTTTGAAGAATCTACCCAGTTTAATTAGCTAAATTAGTAGAATACTAACACAAACTATTTATTTGACCATTACTTTACGTTGAAATACTTCAGTTTCTTTTTTAGAACTTTCCATTTTGTCTTCAGATTTCGAAATTGGTTAAATGGACTTCCCAACAGTTTTTATTGCGTTTGTTGATGCTATTCGTAATAATTGTTTATGATCAAAAATCATCCTAATATACTGCTGCTTGAAAGTGAGATAAATTAGAAACAGTTCATCTGATGAATGATACCACTGATGTTATGCTAGTATATTTAACATTTTGGCGTATTAGGGGTTTTATTACGGAACTTCCTTTTGTACCGACTTCGATGAGCAAGGTATTTTTTCCCTAGCAAAGATTACATTTGGCCATGTTCTTTCTCAAGGGTAACTTGTGTTTTTTTCTTTGATATTTGTTTAGTATGATTATAGAAAAAGTTGAAAGTGCAAAGCGTGGTAATTATTGTTGATCGAAATTTCTATATTAAATGTATTTAAAAGTCGTTTGGTTACACCATATGTTTTCAGCAGAACCAATAAACTCAGGTAAATCATGTGCGAGTGGGAAACAGTTTATTTTTCTGGTTTTTATACTGTTTGGATTATTAATGCTTTGGTAAGCTTCATTAAGAAAATTTCAGAATTTGTTTGGGATTAAAACTAGAAGTTCCTTTATGTACATTTCCGGCTGCCGTTTATGAATATCTTCAAGTTGGTCAGTAGGCGTCTGCATCTCATGAGATGTTCATTTATGTATCCATACTTTAAAAAGTTTCTCAGAGAAACGAAGTATTACTGAGGAATCTAGATCTATTGAAGCAGTGTGTAATTTACATGTTGTCAAACAACTGGGTTCATAACACATGATGAGAGAAAAAATAGTTGGAATTAAGTTGTAAATGTGCTTGCAGGTTACTAATAGCTTTTGCGCTTCGCTTGAAGAAATTTTCCAATACCAAACATGAAGAACTTCAGCTTGTTGAAACAGTTCGTCTTCTAGATAATGAATGGTAAAAGATGGGAATTATTGACTGATTCGACGAATAATTTTAACGCATGAAAATCTGTGTTTGTTTTATTTTTGAGCTTTTTCCCAGATCTACATGTCTTTCGTAGTTTTCGGGTTCAATTGTCATTTTGTTTTGGTCTCTTCACTTTTTCATTTGTCTTTGCCTTGATGATTTTTTTTTCTACTTCTTTGTTATTGTGTTCCTGAAGTGATTCAAAAAAAGCTATTTATTTCGGCTAACAAATGTTTCTCGGCAGTAGACATCTATGTAACTGCTTCCTTCTTTTGTAGAGATGTATACTGACCTGATCTACTCGCAAATCAATCACTTTTGAAGTCTTTATTGAACTTTTTAAGTCATACTGGTTCACTGGATTTACATATTTGTTTAGTTTGTTACAAACTGCAGTGCTCAATATTCACATAATCGTTCTTAGTCATTTTCGGCTAACATTTCTTTGTTTCCTCCTTGTGATCTATTTGAAACTTTTCTAACGCTATTTCTAATTTTTATGGCTGAGTGTATGTTAACTAACAATTCAAACATCTGTTTCTAAACCATATGATTCATTTTGTAGTGCACCCAGTTTGTCACTATTATATTGCTGCTAATTGTCTTTCATTCCTCAAATTGCTACGATTGCGATGATTATGTTAATATTTAATTTTTTTTAGAAAAGTCAAATTGCAATGAAATATAAAACAAAATGAACGGCATTTTATACGCTTTTTAATTAATAAATCTTAGCTGTATTTGCTTGACAAAATCAAATCCTTTCGAAAGTTAAAGCTTGTATGAATTACTACAGAAATTCAAAATGTTTTCTTCAGAAAATAAATTTTTTAAAGACTAAATTACAGGACTGTTTCGTAAAGCTGAAATAATTAGTGATGGGTGATTGAAATTCATTTAGAGATCTCGAAACTTTAGAAACCCAATATCCCTTAACTACTTATCCTGAACAGCTATTTTCATAACATGGGTAAATAATTCAAAGAACTGGGGAAGAAATTTTCACGTGAAGAAAAAATCAAGATTGATCTTGAATGAACATCGAAGGGAAATGCTTGCCACTTTTTCGGGTAATAAACCATTCGTTAAACTTCACCCTCTACTAGGTTCATATTGCTCAGGTCTTGTTGTTTTGCGGGGATTTGATCAGTTTCTTCAACCATTTTTTAGGAGTATGCTTTGTTTCGAATGTCATCTGAGAATTTCAGATTATTAATATGCCATTGCCGCAGCTAGCAAATTCTGAAACGTACATTCGGTTTACCATCAGTAGTCTCATTCAATTTTTAACAAAATTAAAGATGTATGTCTGTACTACAACTAACTATTCAAAAATTTATTCTCTAAAGAAAACGTTTTGAATTTCTATAGTAATTCACACAAGCATTAACTTTCGAAAAGATTTGATTTAAATCTGTTTAAACTTTAAGCGATAAGTTTAAACTAATAGACGGAACGATGAATGCTTGTATTTTGAACTTAAACTTCAGCAATAGAGCGAAAAACGATATGTTTTTTTTTTTTTTTTTTTTAAGATAAAAGTTTAACTTCAAAACCATTTAGATTAAAATTAAACTTTAAATTAAAAGCATTCATTATTTAGCTAATAATTTTCTAGTATATCTGAAAACATTACCCTTGAAACAAGAATAATGCAACGATGCATTTCGCGATATCCAGCAAATTCCTTTCACATAAAGCAAAATGTGCAGTAAAAAAAAAAAAATTAAGAAACAGCCAATAAAATGGTTCATCGTTTTTTTAAGAAAAAAGTATTAGAACTGTTTTTTTTTTAAACTAATACTGCTACAAAAATTGCCGATGTTAGCAAAAAATTGCTTTTAATAAGACTTTCTGCTTACAAGTCTTTACTGATTATGCGAAAGAAAAACTTCAAAATTCCAGGCTGATCTTTGGATTTCTAAATATTGGATTTTGCAGGGAAATTTTTTGATAAACTTTCATTATACCCTGAAAATTTTAAATAATTGTCATTCGTTGCTTCCTTTTTTTTTTTTTTTTTTTTTTCGCTCATTCACACAGAGCGGATCCATTAAAAGAATTGACGAGTAAAGAAAACTTAAGGCTTTGCTGTAGTTAATACATATTTTTTAATTAATGTCAAAATAGGATGTGATGAAAAGCTGTAGGCTTGTGTATGTGTCTGTCTGAACATACCTACTAGCTTTTATCTTCCATTATTCATATAACCACCGTATTCCGCGAACTTGAAAACTTAAGTCGCAGCGAAAAGTTTGTCACATTGTCCAACACTAATATATTTTGCAGTACCCATGATCGTAAAATCTCGGGAAGTTCAGATCTAACTGCACCACGGGTCTATGAATAATATAGAATGCTTTTATTTATAAACTGTATTCATCATGTTGGTGGGTAAAGTTTGACTACTTAATTTACCCATACATCGTCTAATTGAATTACTTAAACGAAAATTTCAATCAGTCTTTATGTTTGGCATGCAATCAAACTGTCAACATCAGAAATGCAAGAATTACATTGAGTAACGATTTGTTCTTACTTGATCTTGCGCAATGATTATTCTTCCATCATTGTTTACTCTTGATCTTAACCAAAATCAAATAGATAATTATAATTTAATGGAATCAAAGAGAAATTTGCTCAAGTATTAGTGCTAACATTCTGTTTAGGACTCATGATACAATTTTAGGAGTTACTGCAAAAATAAATTACTGCTGTTTTGATAACTGAAAGTAACTTTGTTGATAAAATTCTGGATGAAATATTAGATTAAACAGTGAGAAGTTTCTTAATTCTTGTGCTGGGCAAAAAAGCTTGCAAAATATAATAGTATATTAGCTTTAAATATGATCGGGATATGACTTTTCACACAAATGAAATGCCGTAAATTTTGAATTAGTGATAAGTGATATTAATAGCAGTTTTATACTCTGCAGAACTATGAGATAACATTTCTGTAAATATTTCCCTGTCAAATAATCTTCCTCTACATCTATTTTCTTTTTTCATTTTTTGTTTACTAATCTCTATTTCGATTCATAAAAATCTAAAATCTGTGTTTTAGTACTCTCAAAAAATGTTTAATGATATACAAATTAATCTATTTAAAAAGAAAACTCCAGTTCTCAATCTTCAGTCTGCAGAAAAAATGATGCGTATAACTCACCAGAAATGAACAAAAAAAAAAAAATTGATTTTCACGCCAGAAATAAAAAAAAATTGAAAAAATGATTTTTTTTTTTTGATATGTGATTTATTGATATCTATCATGTAATTCTCGATCAGCGCACAGCACTTAATTTGAACGTTAAAAAGCAAGAAAAGTAAAATATTCCGAAAAAGAAGGAAACTGTTTCAGGACGAAAGATCAATCAGATGACAGGTTGGGACAAAGGAATACAGTCTAAAGTTTTGTATGTGTCACTAAATAGAGGCAATAAATTGTGAAAAGTGAAAGAAATGAAAGAGATAACTGTTAAGTAAGTTTTAGGATAAGAATAGCAGCTTTACTTTTTTGCAATCGTTTTGAGTTAGTGGTACTTCCACATTTTGAAAAAACTGTTGCGAGCACAAGTGTGCTTGTTTTCAGACATCATAAAGCATCACATTTGACAGTACTTTGACGCTGTTTATCATTTTAGGGAGGAGAATTTTCAAGTAATTTCAGTCATCGAATTCTATCCGTTAACAAAATGATCGATTTGTATGTAATGCACATTTGAAGCTGGCAAATTTCTTAGTTATTAGATGGATTCCTGCAAACAAAAGGATTGTTTGGGACTAAAAGAAGAAGAATTTTTTGGATTGCAATCAAAAACACTTTCAAAAAATAATTACTTCACTGATACAACTTTGACCTCTCTTCACTATGTTGCAAAATTCAGTAATACAATTGCTTCTTCTGAAAGTGCAAATGATGAATATCAGATTATTCGAATTAAGACGCACTATATGGTTTTCTAATTCTATTTTCAGAGTAGCAGCAAGATCACATTAGTCAGCTGAGCTTCAGTTCAAATGATCATTAGTAGACCAGTCATTTCACAACATCTCACCGATCTAATTTCTTCCCAAAGTGCCAACAAATACAATTCATTTTTCATTGATATGAAGTAAAGGAGCTGTTTCACTGCTCTGTAGTCTCATTCATACTTTAATTCCCATTGAAATCAGATTAAAAATATTAAAAAGGATGATTTTACAAATTGGTTCTCCTAAAATTTTTGCATTCGATTAAGAAAGAAGCAATTATCTCGATCATCTGTGCGTTTAGTATGGCTTCTTTTGTTGTCACCAAGAGATAGCAGCATTCAGAGTACGATAGCATCATTTATATATATATATATATGTATATATACATATATATATATATATATGTATTCTGAGTTTCCCTCATTAGTAGACGTGATTTGATATCGGTTCCACTTTAGCTAATTTGCATAACTCATAAATTGTTAATGAGAGTTAAGATATGCTTTGAATTACTGCACTATTGGAATTGGTGCTACATCTATTTCGTTTTTCACTTAATTATTCCCCTAACTACAAAGTGAGATTTTGTAGAAATAAAATTACTTCTGCCACTTCTGAAGGATTAATTTGAGAAATATCTACAGAATGAGAATCATCTTCTTGTAATGTTGAATGCTTAAAAATTAGATTATCTATAAAAAAAAAAGCATTTTTCTTTACGACACTTTGCTTATATCGCAAAAAAAAAAAAAGATTTTCACACTTATACCAACCATTTTTGACTTATATAAGATGGGTAGAAAAAGTGTTGCAAAAGGAATGTTAAGAACAAAAATTTGAATTCCTGATGTTCTGAAAGCTTTAAACTCTTTGCTGAAATATACATTATCTCAGGAAATGGTCGGTCAGACCAGAACTACAATTATACAGCTGCCTTTGTAATTGTAAAGTGAGTAGTAAGTGAAGTCGGATTCAAATCATTTTCGCAAAATTGATAAATCCGGACTGTTCCCATAATCTACATTATCATAACGACAGCAATTTTTTAAGTATTACTGAGAATACCACTGATTCTAATATTTAAGCAATTGGCAAATGATTATATTTAATTAATAATCCTTCCAACTTTTCATTAAAAACGTGACGGATTGTTTTGTTACTTCCGGAACGATAAAACTAAATAGGGGACGGGGAGGAGCTCTAAATGTATGACAGCGACAGCGAGCATTAAGCATTAGTCTGAGCAAGTTGAGAGGAAGAAGCAAAACTTCAAAAGGATTGCATGTTAAAACTTTAGCTGCTCTTCGATCACTTTCGCAGTAACGGAAAAAAAAATAGGAACAGCGATATATTTAACTCGACCGTAATATCAAATCTTTATCATTCCAATATGAAAGAGCTGGAAGCAACTCGTCATCCTACATTGTTGATTATCACTTATTCAGCATTTTATTCTGCCGTCTTTTTGTTAGGCCTTTTGGGCAATACATTCGCTGTACTATCTGTTATCTTGCATCCACAACTGCGTTCATCCACAGATTATTTAATATCATCACTGGCCACTGCTGATCTGTTAATTATATTATTTTGTCTTCCTACAACTTTGCTTAATAATCTTTTAACAGGTTATTATTATCCGTTACACATTTTCTTTTTATTTACTTGTATTCAGCTTCTCATTCTTCCTCATTTGAACCATTTCATCTTCTCTTCACTTATTCTAACCTTTTTTTTTTTTTGAAAATCCAAAAATTCATATCATTTAAATCTAAAACTTACATAATAAAATAAGTGAAAATGCAAAACATACGATAAAGCATCTTTCCAGTAATTGACCAAAAACACAATAGCTGAATGATTAGCTGGAAAGCTTTAAAAAATTCAACTTTAGGAAGAGATGTTTCACATAATCAATAAACTATAGTCGTCATTGTTTGAATGGAGCTTGAAAGCTAATACTACGAAAGCTCAAAACAGCTCTCAGATCTTTAACGCCCCTGAAGCATTAATCGATTGCTGAGTTTCAGCGATCACCCGAAGATGCGTAATGTAAATAAGAAATTGTCGATCAATTTGCTCATTTTTATCAAATGTTACATAATGATGAAGGCAAGATTTTCTACAAAAATTCTTTCTTTTTATGAAAATGCAAGCAATTGCTTCATTGAAAACAATTACTCAAATTTCCAAAAATTTGAGCTTTAAAATAAAAAAAAAGCGAAAAGTCTACTACATACACATATAAAATTCAAGAATTTCGTAAATTATTATAGTCTGGGAATCTTCTTTTAACTTCAAATTCACTTCAAATTCAAATTCACTTTTCTTTTAACTTCAAATTCACTTAGTGTTTTTAGTATCACAATCTTTTTTCAATTGGAATGTGAATGCATGAAGTTTAATGATGCATAAGAATTAACATTTTGTACAAAGTTCATTTGTGAGGTGTATTTCTGGTTTTAGTTTTGTGAAGACAAAACATTTTAGTTTTCAATTGTTATCCACAATTAATCGATAAAGCTATAATTGTTTATTGTTTGTTATTATTAAGCATAAATGTTGCTCAAATAAAAAAGTTGCAATTGGTAAAGAAATGCCATGCCATGCCATGCCATTTTCATGCAGTAAATAATGTAACTATTGTATTGATCAGTTATACTGATCACAAGAATAGATAACGATAGCTTTGATCAAAGCTCACTGTAGATTAAGGCTTTAACATAAACAATTTATTTCCGATAAATAATCTTCAAATCTAAGAACTTTCCTTATGAAATGCAAAGCATTTGTTTTAATAGTTAAATGCATTTTGTGCAATATCTATCGGATGATAACGAATTTCTCCAAAAAATTGCGCAAATGACCACCGTTGTGAAAATCCCAAATGATCTCTGCCTATCCATTTCAATTTGCTATGATTCACTGCTTTTTCATTTTTCTCTTGTAACTTCCCATTGCATACACAAAGATTCGCATGACGACTAATTCACTGACTAACTTAAAGTACCCAGCCTTATCTAAAAAGAATGATAAAAACTAAAATCATGAAAAAGTTCTTAGGAGAAAAAAGAAAAAAAAAAAAACACACACACACACACTTAAGAGCTTCATCAGACTTACAACTATTTCACAAACTCTGTTATGCTTTCGAAAAAGTGGCCAATTAAACATGAAGTGTACTGCACCACTGATATTCTAATCCTAAGATTTTCTCGCATGTTAATTATATTTCCATTATTCACCACGATATTAACATTATTAGTTATTACAGAAAGCGCTATGTAAGGTGTACCGTGTTCAGCAACCTAAGAAAACCATCTTTCTGGGTACCATGCTTCCTATTTTTCTCATTATCGGACAGAAGCAGTAAGCTGGTTTATAAGATTTTTGCCGATCATCGTATTTCCTCAATTTGACCGTAGTTTTTAACTCATATTCTTCTAGTTCAGTGTTTACTATATGTTACCATGATATTGTGATAAGCTGATTAGCTCAATTTATAGATTTTTCAAAACATCTAAATGTTAATTTTAGACTCCTCAGGAATCGGTTATATTTGGAAGTTGTTTATACATATTTTGACATCTCATTGCACATTGATTCTCTACATTAAATTTTATGATCCATTCCTTGAATATTATTGACTTTTCCATTACAATTATAAATTTAAACCTAAATTCTTCTTTTTTTTTTCACTTTTTTCTAAAATTAGTTTTAAAATTCCTAAACTTACATGTTTTACTTTTGAAAAAAATATCTTTCTTCTTTTTTTTTCTGCATTGAAAACTTTTCCTCATTTTTTTTTTTCATCACCATATTATTGAAACGCAAATGGAACATTATTTTAATTAGAGTAAAAATCTGTCCACTAGTGAAATGAATCTAATAAGAGTATGAGCCTCAAAAGCAACAAGATTTAATTTAATTTCTTATCTACCATTTTCTCGATTTTCAGTTTCTTAAAAAAAAAAAATTGCTGCTATCCAAAAAGTCAAAAGTTTTTTTTTTTCTTTTTTTTTTTAGATTTAATATTATCAAAAATTGCCTTAGTGTATTAAAGAATTTTGGGTATTTTTTTGAAAATTTTTTTTAAAAATTGGAAGTTTTGACAAAACATCAGATTCCAAATATACTTCAATATTATTATAAAATAATAATTGTAACTGATAACAGTTAACCCACAGTTATTTACTGAGAAAACGGGCGATGTTGCTGGATCACAACAAATTATAAATTCAATTTATATTTTCGATGGAAGTTCACAAAAGCTTCTGTGTATTGCCAGTGCTATTACTATTACAAAATGTGGCAAAAAATATAAAATAGATAAATCAATTGGTCAAAATGAAATAGATAAATCGATTGATCTAGCAGTAGTTTTTAAAATATTTTCAAAAGATTGAAAAGTGTACTTAAGCAATGCAAACTTTAAAGAATTATTACAAAAGATGACAGAGCAAAGTTTCTATTGTTATTTTTGGAGAGATCATTCAACTGAAGTTCACAGATCAAACGAATTACTTCTGGAACTGCTAACATTTATAATCGATGAGTAAAGCTGCTTAAATGATAAGGAAATTTCTTTTTTGTGATATATTATGCAATATTTTCAAAATTTTTGAGTATATTTAATAAATTTATTTGCTTTAGACATTATTCTACATGACTTATCACAATTTTTTAAATTACTGTGATAGTTCTAATTTCTGTTCTATAATAGAAATTTAGTAATCAATTAATTGATTTATTTTATTAATTCATCACAACTTTGAACTGAATATTAATTTTTGAATATTTTGAATGTTAATTCATCACAACTTTGATATGTATTGCAATTTACCAATCTTGTAATTCGTTTCCATGAAATATCAGATTACACTTTGTGAAAGTCAATATCAAAATAAAAAAACTTGAAATGTCATTCGTAACGCTTAAAAATAAGTTTGTCTTTTCTGTGACAAACTATCGGTCCTCTAAAATTATTCTAAAATATAATTCGAAACCATATGACTATAATAAAACGACTTCACCACAAAAAATTAATTTTACATCGTGTGTATAAATATTAATTAATCCCAATTAATATTGTTTTTTTTTTAAATTACTTTTCTTTTCAAAAAAATTGTGTGCTTTGGTTTGAAATTAAAAATTTAAAATTTTCTATTCTTAGATAACTCCAAATCTCCAAAAGATTGGAAAAATGTAAATTATCGATTCCATTTTTCGGTTTTTATGACACATATATTTATTTATTTTCAATTAATTAACTGATCTTACGCTTTCCGAATCATGTTCAAAATTCATTTTGAAGGAAATTTCTCATCTGCAGACTTTCTGGACTGCACCTTGGAAATTAAAAGACTTTCAAGAAGATGTTACCGAAATGTTGAAAAGAAAAGAAATCAATTAAATTGCTAAATGAAAAATGGGAAACATTGTTTCTTAGGATTTGAGAGATTTTTCAAGCGTACTTCAAACAGAATACTACAATGACGTGTCAACAGAATACTAAAATTAATCAATGTTTCTGTTTTAAGCATCATATTAAACGCTTTAAAAATTGTACTGTTACCTCATAGAATTTTCTGCGAATTGCATTGTTCATAAGTAAAAAATTGCTTCTATTTATTTTAATATTTTCAGTAAGATTAATTTTTATTAACAATTATGAAGTTAGCTCAACTTTTCAGAATGGCAACTTGGTGCGATAGGCTGCAAAATGTCAACTTGGATAAACTCGACGACTTCTTGTGCTTCAATCTTTACTCTGGTTGCCGTTACAGCAGATCGTTACTTAGCAATCTGTCACACGATGAAATATGCTGTATGGGATTCTCGATGGACACTTTATGTGATTGCAGGAATATGGATGCTCAGTGGAATTCTTGCAGCACCAACTTTAGCCATCTATGACGAGGTTTCTGGATATAAAGGAGTTTTTTTTTTTTTTTTTTAACATAATTTTAAAGTATTTAACAGGAAAAGACAACTATGTTAATCAATTTAAGAAAGTTAATCAATTCTTTTCATTCTCGATAATAAAAATATTGACAAATAAAATGCAATCCTTAGAATAGTGCTTAGAAATAATATTTATTTTAGATATTATTTACATTAGATCCACCAAATGGTACCATGGTGGCACGCTTATGCATTGCAACACAAGATGAAACAATAAACTTTATTATTGTTAATTTACTACTTGCATTTACTATTCCATTCATCCTGATATCAGCGCTTTATACACGTATCTTCATCACTGTATCAAATCATCGTAGTTTGGCTGTGAACGCTAAGGTAATATTAGTTGATTAGAATTTTATTTGATTAGTTGATTAGAATTTTATTCATAGTCAAATTTTAGAAAATCTTAGTAAAATTGTAGTTTTTAGATTCGTGATGAACGCGTTAAGTTACGAGTGGCTCAAATGATGTTTACAGTTATTATTGTTTTTGCACTATGCTGGCTACCATTACATGGTTTGCTCATTTAGTATATTTCCAAATAATAATTTATAATTTTGATAATAAGTTTAATATCTCACTTCCATAAAATTTCAATTCTAATACCGCTCTAACGAGTAAAGTAATACTTTCAATTCTATAGTTTTGGGAAGTCTTATGTGACCTTATTCAAGTGTGATCTTCTCATGTGAATTCAAAATTTATTAAAATGAATTCACAAATATCAAACATTTATGTATTGCAGGAATATACTCCTATTTTTTCCTTACAAAGGACTACAATACATCAACATTTCAATTTGCATCCCAGGTACTACGTCCAATTTTCCAGTGGTTATCACTACTATCATCATCATTAAATCCCCTTATCTACATTGTATACAGTCAGAAGTATCGACGAGCATTTCGTCAATTTCTCGTTCTACCATGCCGCCGTGAACGATATGAACAAACACGGAGCAAAACGCAAAATATTCAACAGTTATGGCTTAAATCACATTCACCTGAGGAGGCGTTATATTGTGGACAGTTTAACGGACGCACTAAATCTGCACGTGATATCATCACTCTACCATCAATTACCATCCTTTCAACACTTGACATGCCATTCTCTCATTCACAACCAACTCGTAATTATACCACCACTTCTTTTTAAAATTAAAAAATAAGAAATTGGTGCTTCTTTATGTGTCAAATAATTATTCCTTCATTATGCATTCCATATATCACCAGCAACAGCAGCATTAATGTTCAGAAGCAAAAAAAAGTTCATATTATATGAAGTAAATAACATTCTTACTTACCTATGTATAACACTGCTACTTCACAACAAAATAAAATGAAAAATTAATGTATTGGAAATATTAGAGGAAAAATAAGTATTATTTCGCAGGCAAAATTCACGTAGCTAAGCATGATGAAAAGGAAGCTAATCTCAACTGATCTTAATTCATCGTCAAAATGCTTTTGCTCTTTTTGAATTCTTATACGTTTCAAATTCCATTTCTTTTTAATCTGTTACTTTTTCTAAATGTTATTCAAATCAGCTGCAGATATTTATCATGTTATCAGTTAATGTAGAGGAAGACAGAAAATTCAAGTAATTATGAACATGAGATTCATGAAAATTATGATTATCAAAGTTCGTTATCCATCTTTACAAATCTGCACAATTCATCAAATCATTTGAAATTTATTACAATAGAGTACATTTTTTGCTTCTCACTTCAGAATAAAAATTGCCTGTAACTGAAAATTTTAGTTTGTTTTTGACAGCATCCTTGAAGCTTTAAAGATCGAAATGACAAGTATGTGATGAATTGTTATGCGTAAAAATTGATAAAAAATTAAGCGTTTCTGAAAACAGTACCTGATAAAAAACAGATTAGGGATTGAAATCTTAATTAATAGCAATGGTTCACAGTATCAAGTTGAGAGAATCGAGAAGTGCATATGCAAATTTTGCATAATTTGTTTTGTGAGATATATCAAGCCTTTTCATCCAACAATTCATTCTTTCTGTTCGGTTTCATCCAGAACGATTCACTCCTCGTCATTCGCTGCTCTTGTGCATCTCCCGATTATTTAAAATGGATAAACATCCGGATCCCGAGAAATCGCAACAAAAAAATATGTCTCTCGTGGAATCTGGTTGGAGCTTTCCAATTTTACTTTTATGCTATTATTTAAAAGTTTAATTAAGATTGCTATAATTCGAATGCTTTCGTATTTTTTATCATTTATGTATAAGAGAAGAGAAGTCTATGGCTACTACTCCTGCGATCATCATCACACTAGGAGGGTTTCTTATCTTAGTGATCCATTTAGAAAAAAACAATTATTAATTAACACACAAACTTTTTATAATTCACTCAAATTAATTTGCAAGCTGAAAAGAAATTAGCTGTTTCAAATGACTTAATAATAAGTAAGAGTCATCTTATAATCGTGCATATAAAACGATTGTTTGATATTTCAATTTTGAAAGCTTTCATTTTTCGGACTGAAGAGATTACAACTTATTCAACGCAACAGACTTCAATGTCAAATGTTGCAGAAAAAAATCTGTTTAAAGAAAAAGATATTCGCGGAACTTCAGTCGCACCAGTAACTCCTATTAGAATGAAGCCGTCAACAATGAACTGGTTAATGAACCGTGGTTTTGCGGCAGTGGCACCACGAGTGTTACGACCACTAACACTGAGACCACCGACACCACTACCACTGGAACAGCAATCACTAGGACCACAGCCGCAATCATTGGAATCGGGACCACTAGTAACGCGACCATTGGTATCGTCGCTACCACAGGAACCTCGACCACTCAAACTGCTACTTCCCAATGTTCCTCTGAACGTCTGTTGATTTTTTTTGTTGAAATAACAAATGAACGAGTGGCATAGCGCTGTGTTTAGTGCGTGTTCAACTGTAAATGCTAATTGCTTATTGTTTGCAATAAACAATTCTATCATTTCTAGAACAACTATATTAACAACTTATGCAGATTTCTTCTTTAGATGGATATGAATTCTGCTGCAATGCCTAACTTTCCAATATACAATTATATGCCAGCTTTGATTGACGAAAATCATTTCCGACGCCGTCGTCAGATTCACACAAATGTAACAAATTCTACATGGACTCCATCTGAGTCATTGCTTAGCACTGTCAACAATCCTCAGCCTGGAATGGAAATTGTAAGTTGAAATCATTTTGCTACATTTTGCGTTCATATAAGCTTAAAATAACATACGCCATTTATTCGCCCTTAATTAATCAGCAAGTAATAGTACACTTTACGTTATGCTACAGATATTAATCGATTTATCAAATAACCTGAGAAAAAAAAAAATCAATTTGTAATACTATGTTAGACTGATAAAATTATTTCAAAATTATTAAAAGCTATTACAGTATCATCATTTCTCAAGAGTTCGTCGTATCAATTAATTTAAAACAAAATTCTGCAAACCGTTCCTTCTTTTCTAGAAGATTTGAATCATAGATGCTTTTTTGCATAGACCAATATTACTTACATGGATCCAACTGGTGGAAGCATGATAGTAACACGTCGCGGTCAGGATGGTGGGTTGGACGTTCGTATGGTTTACTCCCGTGAATTCATTATTGCTGCGTCTGCCAGTCCACTCGCATTGCTGCCACCTGCTAACTTCCGCAACATGGTTCTTAATATGATGGAAATTATCCCGAAATTCCCGACGAGTTATTACAATAACATTTCTCGGGATTCCATATAAATGAGGAATTGAGCTTAGAATAAATTGTGCTACCTCAAAACATTTTCACCTGTTTTTTCCAACAACATTTCATTATTTAGCCAAAAAATTTGCATGTAAATAGAAAGTTGTGAAGAACCGAAATTTTTTACAATTACCGTGAGGACCATTATCCATCTCCTGTGATAATACTCTTATTTGCTTTATTATTTATTCATTATTTTTTTTTTATTCACCAAACTTAATGTTCCATTATTTTTGATCACCGAAGCATTCCAAATGGTTTTTCATCATTTATTCATTTCATTTTTTCTTATTATCCATCTCCATCGCCTACTGCAATAGCGACTCATTTTTTTTTTTTTTTATTGAAACTTTTTAGATGAATTTAATTCCATCCATCTGAATACTACATCTACTGCTGTGCTGTAGTTGTTGTAGCATCTTTTATGAATTAAAATATTTTACTTATTCATTCATTTCTCTTCATATGCCTGTTATTTGCTTAATGCGTAATAAATCAATGATAATTAAAAAATGACAGTGGAATCGCATTTTATCATGAATCCAGCAACTGCTGCTATAGGGAGTTGGTGCAGAAATTTCAATTTGAAGACATATCATTTTTTTGAATTCGTTTATCTCTTAAATAATTATGATACCTTATAAGTAAAAAAATGAGATTGTATTGATTTTTTTATTGTGGCATCATTAAGAACCAATTTGTTCCAAACAAATATCAATTTGAAAACTTTATCTTTAATAAGAATATGCAAAAGAAGCAATGACTTTATTCAGATGTACAATCATAAGAACTACACAGTACGACATATACTGCAACAATGAACACAAATTGATGTATTCTCATTTACAAACAGATAGTAGTACTATTAAAACTAAACAAAATACAGAAATAAAATCCATTTTGATATCATCGCTGGGTCCGACGTCAAATGCACTTATTTGTCTGAATTTAGCCAGCAAAGTACATCAAACAAAAATTTAATGGAATACCAACTGATTCGATTTTGAAACTGCGCCTTCGTGGCACTGTACAATTTAATTAAAATACTATAACGGTAATGAGAAATATTAAAAAAAAAAAAATAGAAATGCATCGACGGCACAGACCTAATCTGACCATTTGCGATTATTTCATAACTCACTCCTCTGTTTCATCCATCTCTAGGAATAATCCAGGATTTCATCTACAATATGAACAGGTAATCTATCTCTTCTTCCAAACTCTGACCACGATATTTGTATCTGTTTACATTATGGATAAGTTACATGTAATTTTCTTAAAAGAAATCATAAAAATCAATCATTTTAACATCATGTATAACAAGAAAAAAAAAACCAAAAATACTATACAGAAGAGAAATAAACTCAGTTTTTTTTCAAAGAGAAATAATCCCTTGAGATTTTACAATAGAAAAAAAAAAAAACTATTATTTCATTCCTTGAATGATTATAACGTTGTCTGTATACAGTAAATATACAGTAAATTATACGGAAGGGCTCAAAATACATTATCGAACAGCAAGCAATGAATTGTAAAGTCGTATAATTTCATCAATTCCTACGGTAATAAATTTAAAAAAAAAAAAAAAAAAAACACTATATAATAATATTATCAAAATGATAAGAAATTTTCTTTTTTACTTTCGAAAACGTATGATAGAAGTGGAAGTTTAATTTCCAGCTCAAATTCTATGAACTGATATTTACGTCAAGGTTTTCTTCACACAACAACATCCGGGAAAAAGATTTTGAAGAGATCTTATTTTTTTTTTTTTTAAACAACATAATGGGATGAAGGGAACGGAGACACAATGACCTATTATAGAGATCGACTTTAATCCACACAAACCCCATATTTATTTACATGTAGATAGCTAATTCACAAAGAAAAGACTACCTTGCTTCTTTTATTTAACCGTACTGTGAGACAGAGATATGGAAAAGATCCGAAAAACTCTACACAGTTACTATAAGCGGTAGACTATAGGAAGTAAAACAACAACAAAAAAAAAAGAAAAACAGGGTAAGCTTCGTATTTTGAAAAGACAAATTGCATTCTGCATCACTTGTCAAGAAATTTCCATAATTTCCTTGGACTTGAAAAAGCTTCGATTTACTTCTGGTCTTGAGGAAACACGAGACAAAATGTAATTATCCTCTTCCATAATTTTAATCAGCTGGGTACTTTCATTAAAAAATTTTTTTAAATTTTATCTCTTAATTTAAAGCAAAAAAGGTATGCAAAGCAAGTAGTCCTGAGTTAATCATGATACTTGCTCATGCTAAGTGACATCTGCTTTCATCCACCATTCAAAACAACCAAAAAATACTTTTATGAACAAATACAAGCCAAATGAAAATCGCTCTAGCAGCAGAATATCATTTATAACAGAAAGAGAGATGGATGGAGATTGACTGACTGAGTCGGAAGGGAAGAAAATAAGTCCGATATACAACAAACAGACTGCAGAATAATCTGCATTAAAAACTAGAAAACTGAAAGCTAACCGTAAGAAATCCCTTGTAATAGCTGTTTTGTAGTTGTCATCCGGTGTGCTACATAGCGAAAAAACATTACGGTTCTGGTTTTCAACCCTTTTTCACATTTCTTTTTTTTTTTTTTTCCTTTTTTTTCCCTTTTTTTTTTTTGAAAGCCAAATAGAATCGCTGCGCTGATTATTATTTACTGTCGATTAGTATTGAATGGAGGTCGACCATGTCCAATTGGTCCCAGTTTGGTTGGAATAACGCGCTGCGCTTTTACCAAACCCATGGCTACGGCTTTATCGACGGGAAGCTATAAACAGAAAGAAGAATGATCAACTGTACTGATAATGCTTTTGCTACGTGGGATTCACAACTGTGATACGTTGGCTTATACGACGTATACGCAGAACTGATCGTAATGTCGACAGAAAAGTTGACACATATGAAACATGTCTAGAAAAGAAACTTTCTCTTTTTTCTCTTCATCTACTTTTGTCATTCAAAATTAATAGATTACAGGACTTGAGGCTCTTTTTTTTCATCATAATCAACTAAACGAAATAACTTATTTGTTAGTGAAACAAACCTGTTTGTGAGGAAAGACCGAGATGTGACATTTGATACAGCTTTGTGCTTCATTAGCAACGGAGTTCTGACTTGTCCACTTTCTCTTACACTGTTGGCACTGAAATTCACCGTAGCACTTCTTCCGACCCTGATATGGGGTTAACTCCTCGTATGGACTGTTAAAACGCTGTAATTTTTGGAAATTTTACTTCACATCTTCCTTTTTCTTTTTTTACACAATACATTGTACGCATAGCTACGAATTCTTATGCAATAAGTAGTGCAGTTGAATAGTTCCAAATTTATAATTTTGATGCTATCACCAGCACTAATAGTTGCAGTTACTGTACAAATATATTGTGATTGATTGCCTCATTACAACTAGTAACAAAGTGATATATGTTATTTCTATTGAATAAAGAAAAAAACACGAATTCAAATAAAGTGATTCGAACGTTCTGAATTCTCTTAATCAGACATTTTCTAGATTTACTTTAATTGTCAATAAACAATACGAACCATTGGACAATCGGAAATGTAGTGTCCAGTACGGTAACAAATGTGACACTGATACTTAGACGGAGGAGCCTTTTTCGGCGAGCAGAGCAACTGTGTGAATTGAGCAATTTCATCCGACGAGAACCCATCTTCCTCTGCTGCTTGCGATGGTAAATTCTCATCGTTCTCCGAACTTAGAGACTGAAAGCAGCAAATTTTGCAACTTACTAGTTTGTATGACGCTACACTATAATTTACCAAACAGCCATAATTCAGTATGCACACTTTTACGTTTTTTGAAAGAACAGAAAAAAAGCAAATTTCCGAAACCTTTGGAAAAAATTGCTCTTTTTAGAAAAAAAAAAATTTTTTTTTGCTTTTTTTTTTTTTTACAAACTAGCAATTTGAAATGCACCTATTTGAAAAGCAACAACTTTTTCCTGTTATGAATGCCAATGCTATACATAAAAAAGTAAAGATAAATCTGGCTGTCCGTCCATTACTGACTGATATCTAATGATCAAGTGATCAGAAATGAAATCAAGTTTGCTGTATCTTATAAATCCTGTAAAATACAAGACGACGGTATTATAAAGTGGAAAGGAAAACATTGGTAGATCTTGAAGAATGAATGTCATTCTGGTGTACTTTAAAATTTTAATTTCCAAATAGATAAAGAGGGAATGAATAGGATGAGGAGGCCCACATTGTTCATTACTGTGCATTTTTTTATCCTATAATTTTTTTTCAAATTTCTTAAAATTTCCAAAGTACCTTTTTATTGTGTTCATTACAGACAACTGGACGAAGCGATGCTGCAACATTTTCGGAATCGTCACACGATACCGGGTCACAAAGTGCACGCTGAACATAACTAGGAAAGGAAAAAACTTGCGGTGCCGGGCTTGATAATGGTGTTTCACCAGTTCCAGGGCTTCCATAACCGGAACTCGTTCCGCAATCAAGAACATCAGAGCCGGAGGGCGAAAAGCACAATCCATTAACAGTTCTCTAAATTACAAGACTGAATACAGCCAACCAATAATATCCACAAAAAGAATAAGAAAAGCTAAGTGGAAAATAATAAGTTGTACGTCACGGAGGTAACCCGAAAGTGAGAAAATTTTGACAGCAATTCACTGCGTATGGTAGGAAATAGTGCAATCCTCAAATGCAAAAAACATAGAAAATAAACAGGTTTGGAGGAAGCAACTCTTGACTAATCCCAGCCGGATCTGATTTCATATTCGAAATTTTGGAAACCGATGAAATTCAATAAAAGACACAGCCTATAACACTAAAACATAATTGTACTACTGAACTATAGTTGGCCAAACTTACAAAAGGGTCGAAAATTTGCGTTGATGAATTTGCTACTGCATTTGATCGAATTTGTGCAAATTGCTCAGCGACATCCAACGCTAAGCGGTCGTATTCAAACATTT